AATTTACACAAAAATGGGCTGCGTCGGCTGATGTTTCATGGGATTCAGGTACTGGAAATCCTGCTTCTGTATTGAATCCTACCAAAGGCGGTTGGGGCTTAGGGTTGGGTGTTCAATACAACCCTGCTGACAATTACTTTATCGCAGGAGGTATCAAATATATTTGGATTGGGGATGCCACGGCGCAAGATGGAACCTATTACATTCCTGTACCCGGTGCTTCTGAGATCGCCCAACAAGGCGATTATCGTGACAACAATGCCATAGGTTATGGTTTAAAAATAGGTTACCGTTTCTAATGCTCAATGCATGATCTTGTTAAAATTATTTTTTAGCGTAGACTTCATTCTAGTGTATATACTTGAGAATGAAGTCTTTTTCTTTTTATTCAAAGACAAATTCATTTTTTCGTCATTTGTATACGCTATAAATTTTAATGATCAATATGAATAAACCTCAGTAAAAAACCAACTTAAATTAAAGGATCAGAATATGAAATTATTACGTTTAATTCCAATTCTCGCTTTAGGCACTATCTTAACCGCATGTGGTGGTATGCCAAAGGAATGTGAAGAATCTTGGAAGCATATGGAAGACTTGGCAAAACAAAGTGGCATTCCTGAAGATTCACTAAAAGAACAGAAGAAAGCCTTTGAAGAAGAAATTAAAAAGTTATCTAAAGAAGATGCTATTCAAGCCTGTAAAGCGCAGTCTTCAATCATTGGCATGGTTAAGTAATTTATCTTTGATCTACAAAATGGATGCTTCTGTTTGCAGGCATCCATTTTTGCCTGTAAATAAAAACTCAAACTTTAATTTTGCCATTTTAATCGTCACAATTTTTTGCTTCACTATAAATAAACATTGGGCCTAAATCATAAGTCTGATCATTCCTTTTCACTTGTGGAATGAATGCACTTGAAATTGAACCATCTAAATATAAAGCTTGATCTGTTTTAAGCTGCGACTTAAAAATATCAGCAAAATTATAAAAATTAATTTTTCCACGACTTATCACAAAATACAGTTGATTATTTTTAATTCCCACCCCATTGCGAACTTTTAATGAATCTGAGTTTTTAACGAAAATTGGATTGATCTCACCATTGATCAATAACATTGGACCAGATTGTGTAGCATAGCGAGCTTTAAAATTAGATTTAAGATATTGCTCTGTGGTTTTAATCACAGCTTGCTTATTGTTCCAAGCAACCACACCATTGGGTTGCATAAAAAAATTACCAAATTTGTTTTTTTGTTGGTTTAATTCTATTTGTTGTTTACCTTGTTCAATGTACAAGCCTACTGGTGCAAAATTAGGGTGATACATTCCTGCATTCATGGCAAAACTGATCTGGCATTTTCTACGCTCTTTTTGCACAGCTGCGAACTTTTTATAGATTTGCCCTTGTTGGTTTTTTAAAAATAGTTGTAGCTGATCCAGATCGTCGATACGAACAGCATCTGCGATCACCTTCTTGTCTTTGATTATTTTGATATAGTCGGTATTGGCATTGACTTGAAAGGAAAGTGCACTCAATCCCATCATGCTTATCAGCGCATATACCCCAGTTTTCAAATTCATAACATCCCCATGCAAAGTGTTATATTTTATCGTGTGATCTATTGAATAATGAAGGCTAATTAGCACTTTTAATGCATTTTTTTACTTAATTATCACTTTAAGGGCTATCAAATTCATTTTGCATGGTTATAATCAAACTATCCTTTCAATTAAATACATGTGTACACTTTATTTGAACTGAGTGGAATATGCAGACAAAACAAATAGCTAAATACCCTTTAGGTGCGCATTTAATCGTCAAACATTTTGGCTATAGCCATCATGGAATCTATGCTGGAAAAGGTCGTGTTATACATTATTCTGGGCTGGCACATTTTGTAAAAAAACGCCCAATCGAAATCACTTCACTTGAAAAATTTTCACATGGTAAAGTGATCCGTGTCCGTTACTATGATCAACCTAAGTTTTCTGGTCGTCATGTAGTTCGACGTATGCGTACACGCATGAACGAAAACAGCTATCATTTGATTATCAATAATTGTGAACATCTGTGTAGTTGGGCAATTACAGGGGTTGAAAGTAGCCCTCAAGTGGTAAAAATGATGAACCGTTTAACCACGATTGGCTATATCAGTTCAATCATGACCTATATGAATGGCTTATTTTTAACAGTTGCAACCACCTGTTTTGCTTTGGTTTTATATATAAAAATGAAACTCAGGGCTCAGTCAAAATTAAAACTTCCAACCTATTTATCACTTAAAGAACAGCAACCTAAAAAGTAAAATACTCAACTAGGTTGTTCACATGACCTTAGGCAAAGCCCTGATTTTAAATCACCATTAAAATGGTGGAAATTTGTCTTCAACCAATTTGAGTTCTAATCCGTGTTCCAAATAAGCTTTTAAACCATCCAGCACTGTGGTGAATCCCCCAGTTGCATCGATAATAAATTGAATCAGTTCAGAGCCTTGCAACGAAATATCGTAATTTCTAATTTTTAAATAGGTGTGCTCGGAGCTGATTTCTTCAAATATAAAATCTACCGATGTTTTGGGTTCACCCCAAGTAATTTGAATCAATTTATTTTCAATAATGTTAAATACCATAACCTTTGAGCTGACTTGATACTTATCCCAACTCCATTGCACAATTTTGCCTTCTTTTAGGGGTCCTGTAGAACGACTAAACCAGAATTTTGAAGTAATTTCAGGATCAATAAATGCATTAAAAACCGCAGATACGGGTTTACGAATTAACATTTGAGTTTCAATGGTTGGATTCATTCTTATTACTCTTCTAAGCTTATATAGAACTATATGGATAACAAAGTGATACTGATAACATAAGTGCTATGTAATCAGTATCATGTTTTTGTTAACAAATTTAACGAATTAGTTTTGAATAAGTGATGATTCAACTATGCTCTGATAGCGCTCTGAAAATTGACCATTCCAATACGGGTAATATGGATATGCTGGATGAACCGCACTGACTTGATTTAAACGCTGTAATTGTGAATCCGTAAGCACTAGATCTTTTGCGATTAGATTATCTTGCAGTTGTTGTTGATTTCGAGCACCAATCAGTACAGTAGACACTGTAGCTCGTGTTAACAGCCATTTTAAAGCAATTTGTGGGACTGAATATCCCGTGTCTAATGCAATCTGTTTTAATGCGTCTATCACTTGATAGAGATATTCTTCGTTTACAGGTGGCGCAAATTGTGCTGTTTCATGTAAGCGACTATTTTCAGGCAAAGGATGCTCACGATCAAACTTACCTGTCAAACGTCCCCATCCCGAAGGACTCCACACAACAGCACCAATATGCTGATCATGATTTAAAGGCATCAGTTCCCATTCATAATCCCGACCTATCAATGAATAATACACCTGATGTGCCACCATTTTTTCATAACCATAACGATCTGCAATCGACTGCGCTTTCATCAATTGCCAGCCTGAAAAATTAGATGCCCCGATATAACGAACTTTTCCGCTTCGGACCAATTCATCTAAAGTTTTCATAAGCTGATCTAGCGAAGTAAAGCTATCAAACTGATGTAACTGTAAAACATCGATATAGTCTGTATTTAAGCGTTTTAACGATTGTTCTACTGCATGAATTAAATAATGACGACTCAATCCGACCTGATTCACTTGCTGATTGGTACGAAGCGCAACTTTAGTTGAAATAATCGCATTGTGCCGATAAGGTGCTAATGCAATTCCAAGCATTTTTTCAGATTCACCGTCTGAATACACATCGGCCGTATCAAAGAAATTAATTCCTGCATCTATACATGTAGTAATCATTTGATTGGCTTCTTTCTGCCCTGCTTGTCCCCAGGCAGAAAATAGAGGACCTTTTCCTCCAAGGGTTCCAGCACCAAATCCCAACTCAGATACTTTTAAACCAGAATTGCCTAAAAAATTATATTTCATGATCATTCACCTTGATTGAATAATGTGTCTCATCACAAAATAACAACTTGGTATTATTTTAAAAATCAGCATAATGAGGAATTACTTTTTCGATTTTATGGAAAATGAATACACAAGACTTCCAATTCTTCTTACGTGTCGCAGATTTAGGTTCAATCAGCCAAGCGGCAAAAGAAGCCAATATTGCAGTTTCAGTGGCAAGTCAACGAGTGCAAAGGCTTGAAAATCAGCTCAGTCTTAAACTTTTTTATCGTACGACGCGGAAACTAAGTCTGACCGAAGAAGCCAAAATATTGATTGAGCAAAGACGTCCACTACTCGATAATTTCCAGACATTAACCGACAATTTAAAGCTTCAAGATCAAAAACTTTCAGGAAGCATCAATATCACCGCTTCCGCAACCTTTGGGACACAGATACTGGTTCAGGTTATTGCTGAGTTTTTAAAACAACACCCTGAATTATTAATCAATTTAGATTTAAATGACCAAAATGTAGATCTTATTACCCAAGGTATGGATCTTGCGATTCGCATTGGCAAACTACAAGATTCTTCTTTCATCGCAAAACCATTATCTATCAATAAACGCTTACTTTGTGCTGCACCTGAATATCTCGCTAAATTTGGTATCCCCAAACGTTTAGAAGATTTACAACAACATCGTTGTATCGTTCAGCGTCATCAACAAGGCATCAGCAATACATGGAACTTTCTGGATCACAGTAACCCAAATAGAAGATTAGATATCCAGGTAAATGGCTATTTTATTACCAACTCAGGCGAAGGGATTCGTCAGGCATCTTTGGCAGGGCTCGGCATATCCAATCACTCACTTTGGCATGTCAAAAACGATTTAGATTCAGGAGAACTGGTTCATGTGCTTCCTGATTTTAGGGTAGAACCCACTGCTATTTATGCTGTTATTCCAGATAAAAAATTAATCTCTGATAAAGTAAAAGTTTTTATTGAGTATTTACAGGATTACTTTAAAGAATTCTAATGATGATTTGGCTAATGTTATCCGTTATTCCAGATGACAAACATAATCTACAACTTCACTGGATTGCAGACTAAAACGGCTATTTGCAGGAACAGTAAAAGACTCTCCAGAACTGTAAACTTCCATTTCTTCTTGATCTGCTATCCGAACCAAGCATTTTCCAGAGACAATCTCAATGCGCTCAGTCACATGAGTTTCAAAAGTTAAAGGTTTCTCTGTGGGTAAAATTACCCCCAATGTTTTCTTCGAACCATCTTTGCATTCGATAAGATAACTGATTGATCGCCCTTTATAATGAATATTAGGTTTAATATGGACCGTAACAAAATCAAATTGGGAAGACATATATTTGTCCTGATTATTATTTGTGCATTTACTATATCGCTTTTCTATAGTATTCCTCAATCAATTTTAAACAGCATAAAAAAAACCTAGCCGAAGCTAGGTCTTAAATCATGATTTTATTCAAGATTGAATAAAATTATTTACCCGGTTTAAAGCTATCTTTCAAATCTAAGACACGGTTAAACACAGGTTTATCTGCTGTATGATCATATTGATCCGCAACAAAATAACCCTCACGCTCAAACTGGAAACGATCTTCTGATTGCGCTTGAGCCAAAGCAGGCTCGATCACCGCTTGAAGTACCGTTAAAGATTCTGGATTTAAATTTGCCAAGAAATCATCATCTGCATCTGGTGCAGCTTCGGTGAATAAACGATCGTAAACACGAACCTCAGCAGGAATCCCTTTCGACGCAGAAACCCAATGAACAACACCTTTCACTTTACGACCTTCTGGGTTTTTACCTAAAGTTTCAGGATCAATTGAACATTTCAACTCGATCACTTCGCCATTGGCATCTTTAATCACTTCATCACACTTGATCACATAAGCATGACGTAAACGTACTTCACCCTCAGGAACTAAACGTTTAAAACCTTTTGGTGGAACTTCTTCAAAGTCTTTACGATCAATAAAGATTTCAGAGGTCAAAGGAATAATACGATCGCCCATATCTACATTTGGATGACGTGCATGGCTTAAGTCCAAATCTGCTGGCAGGTTGGTCAAAGTCACTTTCAATGGATTTAAAACAGCCATACCACGTGCTGCTGTATTTTCAAGAGATTGACGAATACAGAACTCCAGCATAGCCACATCAACGATACCATCTGTTTTAGATACGCCTACACGCTTACAGAACTCACGTAGCCCTTCAGGGGTAAAACCACGACGACGCATGCCCACCACAGTTGGCATCCGTGGATCATCCCAGCCATGAACATAGTTACCTTCTACCAATTTACGTAATTTACGTTTAGAGGTAATCGTATAATCTATATTTAAACGGCTAGATTCATACTGACGTGGAACTGATTGTGAATGTACTTTCTCAACCACCCAATCATAAAATGGGCGATGGTCTTGAAACTCTAAGGTACATAATGAATGGGTAATCCCTTCAATCGCATCTGACAATGGATGAGCATAGTCATACATTGGGTACATTTTCCATTTATCACCAGTTTGGTGATGTTCTGAATGAAGTACACGATATAGAATTGGATCACGCATATGTACATTTGGTGAGGTCATATCAATTTTGGCACGTAATACTGCTTCACCCTCAGCCAATTCACCATTGTTCATTTTTTCAAAACGAGCAAGATTTTCTTCAATAGATGCATCACGATAAGGTGAGTTTTTACCTGGCTCGACAAAATTACCACGGTTAATTCTAATTTCTTCTGGGCTTTGTAGATCTACATAAGCATCGCCTTGTTTGATCAACTGAACTGCCCAAGTATGTAATTGGTCAAAATAGCTTGATGCATAGCGAGGTTCGCCATTCCACTCAAAACCTAACCATTTTACGTCATTGGCAATACCATCAACATATTCTTGTTCTTCAGCATCTGGGTTGGTGTCATCAAAACGCAAGTTACACAAACCATCGTATTCTTGAGCGATGCCAAAATTTAAGCAGATAGCCTTTACATGACCAATATGTAGATAACCATTTGGCTCAGGTGGAAAACGTGTAACAACTTTTTGTGTACGGCCCGCTGCCAAATCCTCTGTAATGACTTGGCGTACAAAATCTAAGCCCGCTTGTTGTTCTTGCTGCGCATTATCGACAGGGCTTGGACTATTTGTCGGGGTTTTCGGCAGTTCTGAAACAACATCATTTGGCTTCATAGTTGATAAATCACTTCTAAAAGTTAAAATTGAATATAGAAAATGTGATTTTATCCTTTTTTAACAAAAGAATTTCACATTTTTACTTGCTATGTAGTTTACAGTTTGCTTATGCTTCTCTCAACCAAAAACCCATGACATTTTAAGTCATGATTAGGAGATTATAGAATGAGTTTTCCTCAAGTCGAATTAAACACCAACAAAGGACGCATTGTTCTTGAACTTAACTCTGAAAAAGCACCAAAAACAGTTGCTAACTTTTTAGAATATGTTCGTGATGGTTTTTATGATGGCGTAATCTTCCATCGTGTTATTGAAGGTTTCATGATCCAAGGCGGTGGCATGGATGAAAACTTCAAAGAAAAAACCACACGTGATTCAATTGAAAATGAAGCAGACAATGGTTTAAGCAATGATGAAGGTACGGTTGCAATGGCACGTACTCAAGCACCTCACTCTGCTTCTGCACAATTCTTTATCAATGTAAAAAACAACTCGTTCCTTAATCATACAGGCAAAACTGCTCAAGGTTGGGGTTATGCAGTATTTGGTAAAGTAACTGAAGGCTTAGACATTGTTGATGCAATCAAAGGTGTTCGTACAGGTAACCGTGGTTATCATGCTGATGTTCCTTTAGAAAACATTGTGATTGAATCTGCAAAAATTATCTCCGAATAATTTATAAATCCTCCCGAAGCCTACTTTCAAATAAAGGGATACTGTCCCCTTTACAAAGCAAGCTTGGGAGGAATGATTAAATAGGAAAAATAAGTGACCTATCTGTTTATCGCTGATTTACATTTGTCACCAGAACACCCTCGACTGGTTCGAGGGTTTTTTGATTTACTAGAACACTATAAGTTTCAAAATACGCAACTGTTTATTCTCGGTGACTGGTTTAATGCTTGGATTGGAGATGATTATACTGCCCCTTGGTTAGATGAAATTATTGAGCATCTAAAACAATTTTCCATGCAAGCTGGTAATCAAATTTATTTTCAAGTAGGTAATCGTGATTTTGCCTTAGGGCAAACGTTTTTAAATCAGTTTAATGGAAAATTACTACCTGAATTTTATACATTTAGCATTGGTGATAAAAAATTCCGTCTTGAACATGGCGATGCTTTATGTACCGATGACGTCTCTTATCAACGATTTAAAAAAATTATTCGCAATCCGATTGTATTGGGACTTTTAAAAAGCACCCCACTTGGTTTTAGACAAAAACTTGCCAATGGTTTTCGTAAAAAAAGCCGTGAGTCTCAACAAAATAAATCCTATGAAATTATGGATGTTAACCAACAAGCAGTAGAAAAAGCAGTTAATAATGTCGATCTGTTGGTTCATGGTCATACCCATCGCCCTGAAATTCATGATGTAAATGGTAAAGCTAGAATTGTTTTAGGGGATTGGCGCGAAAAAACATCTGAAGCTATGATTTTAGAAGTGGATGAAAATGCCGATTGGAAATTTATTAAATGGACAATTCCAGATACAAATCACTTTACCGATTGATTAAAAATAATGATTTTTCACCTTTATTTACGTTTTGAAGATTCACATTTCGAGATTTTAGCATACAATATATCGAAAATTTACGATATATGAGATCTCCTTATGGA